ATTTTTCAATATTTATACTCAATGAAGAAATTATTTATCCGAAAATATTTGTATGACTATTATTATTATTTTTTTAATAAATTCTTGGTCGTTGGATATTTTTTGATTATTTTAATTATCGTTGGTTATGCGAGTTTAAATCATAATTTAAATTTGATATAGTAATTCACTATTAAAATTATTATATGATATATTAGGATTTTAAAAAGTATTTTGATTTTCAAAATTGTTCATTTTACAAAAAAAAAGATTTAACTAGTTTGAAATTTCGGGTTTTGTTAAAAGAAAAATATGTTCCATTTAAAACATGAATAAACTTTGTCACAATTGCATATTTGTCAATTGAAAAATAAAAATAAAAATAGAAAATTTGAGACAGTGGGGACAAGTATTATCTTCTTTCTGGCTAGCAAGACAAATGTAGGTGTTGAGGGATGACAAAAGTGGTTCTGTTTTTGTTTTCCCCTCTCATCACTCACTACCATCTCTCTTTTAGATTATTATTTTACCCTTCATCTCCCACATAAATTACATACCCGAGAATAGTTTTTTTTGTTTTTAATGGACCATTCAATCTCCTAAGTGTGGACCATTTCATCTCCATCTCACAACGGTTCATGCCAAAGTTTAAGTTTAAGTTTAAAAGAGCAAAAAAGATAGAAAAATCTAAATTTGGTTTTGTGTATGCTTCGTAGCTTAATGAACACATTACGGTACACATTATTAAAATCCGGCCCAAAACTAGTTCCATTTACGATTTTCCGATCAATCATGTTACGTTGTTTTAGTTATAACTTAAACTTTAGAAGGATATTCGAGATGACATGAAGATGACATTCTAAAGAACTCTTGATTATATGTTCTTTTAGTAGATTACGTACATTTTATAGGGACATGCATGGAAGTCCAGGTTGGCCTCCTGTTGAGAGGAGGTATATCCAACCTAGATGGAATGTGGTCACCTCACACTTACTTAAAACATGCTTTGTGTTATTCAAGAGAAAACATATGAAACATCTCCAAATTTTCAAAATTGGGTAAACTCCGCATGAATAAAGATAAGTAAGTGAAACATCGTAAAACATTTTAACTATTAATCTTGTTTGACAAATTTATAAGGATTTCCCGTTATCTTTGTATAGTTAAGCAGTTAAAAATAAGTATTTAAAAACTCATGGCACAGTTTTTTTTTTGTTTGCTCCATGGAACATGAAGTTAGATATAAGATATAAGTAAAATAAGGCAGATTAAGTGTATATATGTACTGTATTGTATTTTGAAGATCATGTAAAAAAATATTAATAGAAAAATTAAAAGTTTTGAAGAAAATAAGAAAATCTAGTGGAGCTTTAGAACTAGATAAAACCAGAAATTGAGAAAGCATAAAAGACTTTAAGCGAGAGCTAGAAAGGCACGCGAATGTCACGGTCGATGGTGGAACCAGATGTCAGATTGCATATTTGATATTTATTCATAATTTACCAAATAATTTCGAACTCAGGTAAGTTAGTAAATTGTTTTCAAATTAGGTGATTAAAGGAAGTTAGGAAGTTACTGTGTCGTGTTTAATGTCTTGCTCGAATCTTTTCGTAGCTTGTTTTTTTCAACGTTTCCAAGTCTTTTTTATGTCTAGTCATTTGATATGTTTTTAACAATGACCCATCATTATCCTTTTAAAAATCTATATTATAATTTTCGCAAATGGTAACTACAATATAATTTTCGTAAAAAAATATAAAGATAATGAATTTTTACTCTCAACAACATTTTTCTACAAGACGACGCATGTATTAAAATTTAAAACACAACACTATGTACTAGCTTAGCTTCGTAGTTTTTAACTTTTAAAAACTTCATATCTCAAAAATATGATTTAGCTTTAGCATAGTTACATCGTTTTGAAAAGAAAATAGTGTAACAAAACGATGTATAAAACTAGTAATGTAGTATCAATAAGCGCTAAGAAAATATAAACAAGTTTCCATTGAAAAAACAAATACAATAATATGGATATTTACTTGATGCAATAAAAAAAAAAAAAAAAAAGTGGAGGTGTAATCTAATATTAATTGTACCAACATGAAAGTTTAAATCCGCATAATTGATACATTATTAAAAAGAATATGTGGATATTAGTTTTAACTTAAGAAAAGATATGGTCAATACTGACCATTTGACTATGTAAACAAAGAACAAATACTATACTGATGGAGTATCATAAAAAGTTACACAGTCCAACTCTTTTAAAATCAAAGGAGAATATTGCTATAGACATTAGACAATATAGAGATAAAGTTTTTATCAACTTGAATAATAGACCACCTAATCACTGAGATCTGTCTAAAAATAATTAATTAGAAGAATGTACTAATTTAATCAGATTATTCAGAAAAGATAAGGAGAATATAGGAGGGGGTCACGTGAGCACGTGTCATGAGCAGTGAGTCGGTGCGTCACTAGTCGTGAGGGAAAGCGAAACGCACGAATCGCGGGACTGTGCTTTCTCCGCCTGCGACACTCTTCGCGTCCTCTCTCGTCTCATTCACGCGCCATCTCCTGCACACACTCGTACGTTAAATAATTTTATTGTGTACTGAAAAAAGTTCGAAGCCTATTATTAAACCTTGGTTAAGTTCATACGAGCTAGTAAACCGGTTTAGTAGGAATATTTTCATAGCAATAACACAAAAATGTTTCGTCGATTTGGGGTAAAGAATTTACGTTCGTGTTTTCACATAGATAATATATCAAAGAGTGAGTTTGATATGGCTACGTAAAATAGACTAGAATTCTATGTTAATAACATAAAATATGTATATTTTTGTTACATAGTTCAAAAGACCAAATCATACATCTAACATCATTATTATCTAAGTAAACAATAGTAAACCTACCTTCCAACGCCAAAACTAGTTCTACTATAGTGCGTTATCAAATAATTTGCGTTACATACAAAATGAAAGCTTAGAGGAAATGAAATGAAATTAAGAATATTTGATTTCCCCTTAATCAGACAGACAAAGAGAACGTTGGCGCGTGGATACCATAAAGCGTGTGGAAGAGGAAACTGAAAACATTATTTTTTTGTTTTTGTTTTGGAGAATCATCAAATCAACTAGGGCTCCCGCATTGACCGGTTCAATCCTGGATGGATCTAACCTCTCTTTTACGACCTAGGGTGGGTCCTGATTCGTATCTTATTGTGTGTTTTCTGCATATATTTGTTTATTTAGTCTCAAAGTTGATAAAGCAAGTCTTAATTCTCAGACGGTCAGACTCAGACAGAGACCTCAGTCGTAAAAAAACAATTCTTAGACCTAAATATATAATTAATCAATAGTGTAATGACCCATTGTGAACTAATTCGCTGCATCTAACTGTGAGTACCTATTATTGTTTTATAAAGCCGCAATAATCGTAAATATCACTTTTGACTTCAATTTTCAATTTTACAAATTATCCTTTATTCTAGATTACGAACTTTGATTTGTTTTCAAATTGAATACTTTTCCTAAAGAAAAAGCAAGCTAGGAAGAAGCAGTAACTATATAGAGAGGTAACCTAGTGATAGTGTTTCAATAATCAACAATGAACGCATATTTGTGTTTCAAGTACACCTACTACTACTGGTCACATTTTGTGTTACCAATGTAGTTTCTTTTGTAAAAGTGAGGAAATAGTGAACAAATTAAAGTATTCAATATTATAACAAATGGTTGACGTGTAAATTAGATGCAAAATGGATACGTAAACAGCAAGAGGAGACATGGTTTTCAGAGACGCTTTGTGTTTATTACCAACAAGGCAACAACGCAGCTTTCTTAGGTCTATAAGCATGATGTGAGTTCTTTTAGCTTTTTGCAACACTTTCAAATAGAAAAACAACAAATTTGTGAGTTTCTAATCAAATAAAAAACAGTTCTTTAGTTTTTTTTTTTTAAAAAATTGATTCTACATAAACTACTATTTCCTAATCCTTTAGATCAGCATGGAATATTTTCTATATGTTGTTACACATTGCGATGGAAGTTAGAGGATGAGATAGGCAAAAATGGAGAGAGTCACTGTCACGTGCGGTTTTTGGGGTGGTTAAGAGTAGAGCGTGCAATATATCTATAGTGGGAACCAAACTTACTAAAGTACATACGAAGACCACTTCCAAGTTCCACCTTGTGTTCTTCTGTCTTCGACGAAAAAAAAATCTACAGTACTTTGGCTTCTTTTCATTTTTGTTTGCAGCTTTTTTTTTTTCTTTCTCATATTCCAAATTTGTAATGAAAATTAAACTAATTTCAATGTCTACAACAACTACGTGAAACAACAACAATTTCTGTATTAACCTTTAAATGTTAGTTTACTTTAAATTTTTCTTATGGCTCAGCCTGTGATGGATAACTGAATCAAACAAATGGCGTCTGGGTTTAAGAAGATCTGTTTTGGCTATGTTGGACGAAACAAGTGAACTTTTAGGATCAACTTCAGTTTATATATGGAGCTTATATCGAGCAATAAGATAAGTGGGCTTTTTATGTAATTTAATGGGCTATCGTCCATAGATTCACTAATACCCATGCCCAGTACCCATGTATGCGTTTCATATAAGCTCCTAATTTCTCCCACATCGCTCAAATCTAAACAAATCTTGTTGTATATATAACACTGAGGGAGCAACATTGGTCACGACCTTACTTGAACAGGATCTGTTCTATAGGCTCGTACCTCTGTTTCCTTGATTTCTCAAGAGACAGGCCCTTAACCCTGGTTGATGAACCATGACCGTGCGGCTAGAGCGTGATTGACGGCTACGATCGTCCTCGGACGCATCCAGTGCTGTAGAGGATCGTTACTCGGCTCGGTTTCTACCTTGCCGGGGTGGTCGCACGGCGGTCTGACAGGTCCCTTTCCTTTTTTCTTTTTTTTGCCATAAACTTAAATTTGTATATCGATCATTGTAGATATTGAAAACCTAGAACAAACCAACATCCATGTGAATGTCTTTCATGACTGATTTAGAGATCATTCTTGAATTTTGGAACTAGAATCTATAATGAGCCCTTAACCCTGGTTGATGAACCATGACCGTGCGGCTAGAGCGTGATTGACGGCTACGATCGTCCTCGGACGCATCCAGTGCTGTAGAGGATCGTTACTCGGCTCGGTTTCTACCTTGCCGGGGTGGTCGCACGGCGGTCTGACAGGTCCCTTTCCTTTTTTCTTTTTTTTGCCATAAACTTAAATTTGTATATCGATCATTGTAGATATTGAAAACCTAGAACAAACCAACATCCATGTGAATGTCTTTCATGACTGATTTAGAGATCATTCTTGAATTTTGGAACTAGAATCTATAATGAGCCTAAATTAAAACATTGTGAATGGTCCCATAGATACTTCACTTGTGTGTAGGATCGGCTCTCTTGATGCGAGAATATTCACTTTTGAGAAGAGGAGGGAAGAACGGATTTAGTGGAAATATTTGTGGGCAACACTTTGCATCCATTGCCGACAACGTCGTGCAACACATTAATTGGTCCAACATTATCAAACTTTCTTGTAAAAACTGATTTATAGATTTCAGTTACGCAACCTTAAACATTGACAAGTGATGACAAACATTTTTTGAGATCGATGGGATAACCAGGGATAACAGGGAGTTGAGGTGTCGTGTGTGCGGGTGCACTTAAGATGATGCGAGAGCAACCATCCTTGACAAGAGGAGGGAAAAATGGATTCAGTGGAAACATTTTTGGCCAACAGTTTGCATCCACTTCCGTAAACGCTTTGCAGCTTTCAAACTTAGCGGTTAAAACATATTTTAAAATTTCGATATTGCAACCTTGAACATTGAAGAGCGATGACCAACATTTTGTGAGATCAACTAGAGAACCAGGAATGGAAGGAAATCGAGTTGTCACAAGCCCCTCGGCTGTCCCCTCCACATCCATTTGTTGCAAATGAAACTTGTTTTGAGATGGTAGAATTTTTATGTTGGTCAAAGGCTATGAACCATGAACACAAAGGCTAATTTCCCCATAGGGTATACTAGACAGCAATAACCTTCAATGCAGCAAAATTACCGAGTCGTATGATAATCAATTCATCAGTATCATAGTCATCGTCTTCAAAGATTGTATTTTCTTCCTTTTCAAAATAAATTGTCTTCTTTATCCATTAAGCATCATCATCGAACGGACCTTATGTTCATATCTACTACAATTTCGATTTATAATGAAACTAGGTGACGCTGTTTTTTTCATTAATAATACCTCGTTTTTTTCTTTATCCACTCGTTACGTTCAATCTCGATTTCTTTAATTCTCTCCATTCACTAGTTGATTCTTTCTCATACAAAATACGAACAACCATGATTCTGGATAGAAACTCCCATGCTCAATAAACCTAAAACATAAACCAACGAATTTAAAATCATCAGCAAAACAATATTGATATATAGTAAAATAAGAAGAACTCACGGAAAATTAATTCTCGAAATCGATATCATCTCGAACAAAAAAAAAATAGTTCGATTCAAAGGAACCGAAATAATTAAAAAAGCCAACAACTGTAATGATTTATTTAGCGGCTATGGCCTAAGAAGTATGAATACATATGATATTTTTATGTTTAATGTTTAGGGTAAGCCGTCATAATTATCTTCCAAAATTTTGACTTTTTAAATTAGAAAAGTTTCAAATAAAAATACTCACCAAATAATTTAAGTTTTATCTGTAAATTTTAAAAATAGAGGAAACGCAAAATTCCATATTCTATATCAAATACTTATGATTTTATCATTATCTCATTACAAAATCGAAACCGAAATTCATACACTTTTCATTAAGGATAGCTTCGAGTTTTGACGTCAAATTTCAACAAAAGAGTTCCATTGCCCCTTCTTTTAACGTGGTACAAACTTACTTCTCATATAATGTTCATAAATATATGTACATACTTTGTTAAAATACTATAAAAATTGTAGTATTTTATTTTTAAAAATGTTAATTAGTATTAATACTTTAGTATATATTCCATAATTTATCATATTTTGGTAAGATTCTTCTTAGAAAGAAAAAGGCCAATGAGGAAACAAAAAAGTCAACAACAAAAAAGAATGTAAGGTAAGTTTTGGTCATGGAAAGAATTCACTACTGTAAATCAAATATTTAATTGGAAACCAATTATAAAAAGGAAATATTGGACCGAAAAATAAATAAAAGGTAATATAAATTTCCAAATAATAATCCTACGTGGACTATTCCACCGCCTCAATAGAGTATAAATATAAGAATCTCTGAATCTTACACATTACAAATCTCTTTGGTCTACCCACATCATGGAAGCTACTCCTGTATTCAACTACCATATTGATGTCAATCCTGAACGCAAAAAGATTGGCACAATCCAAGTCTGTGTAAGTTTCGTCGGATCAGCCAACATGCCGCCGATACCAACCCGGTCTAACTTCTCATGTTCATTACCTGCCAATGAATTAACTGACGACGAAGATTCTCCCCACAAACAAAGACTCTATTACTTCTTAACAGATTCAGCAGTTGATTCACAAGATGCTTACACGTTAATACTAAAACTCACTCAACTTGCACGTGATTTAACTTCTAATTCGTTTGAATACTGTCCACGTTATGCTTTGTCAGTGTGGTTGACTCTTGATGTGGCTCCTTTGAATGAATATGAGAGGAATAGCGAGTATAGACGACCCGCGAGCAATTTAAGGGTCGGGGCCTTGAGCAGGAGAATATACAAGAGGAAACAAAAGACCAGCTCTATTGCTAACAAGAGCACAAGATACATGAGAAAACGAGAGACCTATTCTAGTGGTGACAAATGCGCAATTTGTTTTCAGGAGTTTAAAACCGGACGAGAAGTTGCTACTTTACTTTGTGGTCATGAATTTGACAATAAGTGTATTATGGAATGGTTTAAGGTTCGCTACAATTGTCCATTGTGCCGCTTCGAATTACCACGTGAAGATGATCATATTCCTCAAAGAACTACAGATTTATAACTAACATACATTAACACTTAAGCGCTTTATTTGGTTTTATTTAATTTTAGGTATAGAGATCAATATTATACGGTTTTTGAAATGAGTAAGACACTTATATCTTTCGTCATAACTGATAACTTAGTGGTTTAATTTGTGCTAGTGTTGTCGTTGTGTCACCATCCATATTCAATCATGCATAATGCACGCATGTTGACAAATAAAATATTTATATCTATTATTACTTTTCCAATGATTTCGAGAGCTTCATCTCTTGATTTTAGTATATTTTCTTATGTTTTCCGTGTATCGACTTTAGCTTTTCAATTTGTTTTCTACGGACATTGTATTATACAATGAAAATAATAGATAAGTTCACAAACGTTATGTTGGTTACGTCTACAACCAAAAGAAAACAATGTTATTTGTAAAGGTTGGAAATTTGAGTGTTCTACGAGAAAACAAAAGTATATATATGACGCAACCTAGATTTAGGATAACCACTCAATATTTGTATTTAATTTTATTCATAGTAATAATATATTTAAAGCGTATCCTATTTTGATAAAACTTATCTTTCAGGATTTTCATGGTTTTCAGATTAAATATTAAATATATATTTTATATTTAAGGTTTCTTTTTTTTTTATGTATATCTTTGTATAATTAATTAAACCCTAAGCTTTTGTGTGTCTATTTAGACGAAAATATCTTTCTATCTACATTTTTGGAAATTTCCTCTTAATTTTTCTCTATTTGTGACTTGACAGCGTTTAAATTCGATAATTAGGTGAAAAAAAAAGAAGAAAATGTTAGCTTGGAATTTCATCAAACACTTTCCGTGCAAGAATCTCTCCCGCCATATCCTCAGAGACAGCAGAGTCAGACCTCTCTGCTTCTTCACTTCTTCTACTCCTCCATCCTCCTTTTCAATCTTTGCGTCTCTCTCTACTTCTTCTTCTTCCTCCTCCTCATCTTCGTGCTTCACTGATGAGCCTTTCGCTGCACCTTACCTCTCAGTTCGTATCCACTGTCCAAAACATGCCCTCGTATGTGTATCTCTCCCATTGATCTCTTTTAAGGATATGAGACTGCGATTTGACTCTTTGCTTGTTGGGTTTTTGTTAGGATCCATTCTCGGAGGCACTTTTGTGTTTTGGAGCAAGCTCTGTAGCTGTAGATGAAGCCATCGAAGAAGCCGACCAAGATGAGACTTCTCTTGCTTCAAAAGAGGTGAAAAATCTATGCTTTGATCGTTTTTTGTTCAGCTCCATTTCCAGAAAGCACCAATCTTTTGTATGATTGAACAATGTTAGAGCAAATTGATGCAATAAAAGGAACGATTTTGCTCTTAGGAAGCATCGTAAGGGTTGATCTGTCTATATTCTTGTAGTCTCATCAATCATGCTTGTGCTCTTTGGTATTACTCTCTGCAGATATGTATAGAATCAATATTTCCAGTGCATGAAGAGGTGAAAATGTGCATTTCACAAGCTGCAAATTCCATAGGCTTGAAAGAGATACCCAAATTCAAAGTTGAAATGGGAGATGAACTTGACTGGATTACCAAAAACCAGGTGAGTTCTGAGTTTAACAAAGAAAGGATCATCATTTCAGTAATTGCTTTCATTTAAGAAAACTTGCATAGTTATGCTCAAAACTCAGCGCAAATACTATATTTGTTTTGCGGCAATGTCACTTGAAGCTAATATCTTTTGAATCATATTTTGCAGGATTTGTTTCAGCCTGTTGAAATCGCCGAGAGACTTTGGATTGTACCTGAGTGGACATCTCCTCCTGTATGTGTATAAATCAATATTCTTTAACAAAACCATTGCACTCATTTGGATTCTTGTTACTCTTTTGCCTTAGTTGACATAACGAAGAGCGGTCTTAGGGTACTGAATTTGCAGAATATGAATCACCCTTTTTCTGTGTCAGCTTATATAGAGGGATATAGAAAGTTATTATGTGTGGTTTTAAAGTACTCTTTCACTATCCTTTGCAAGGTCGCTGAAGCGGTAAACATAATTCTGAACCCTGGATTTGCGTTTGGGACTGGAGAACATCCTACTACTAAGCTGTGTCTATTGCTTCTACAAAGTTTGATAAAAGGCGGAGAAGCTTTCCTCGACTATGGTACCGGTTCAGGAATACTTGCAATTGCAGCCCTCAAGGTAAAAATCTCACGCCTTTG